GGCTAATTTTTGTATTTTTTGTAGAGGTGGGGTCTTGCTATGTTGCCTAGGCCAGTCTTGAAATCTTGGGCTTAAGCAGCCCTCCAGCCTCAGCCTCCCAAAGTGCTGGGATTACAGATGTGAGCCACCACACTGGGCCAAAAGACAGCTTTAAAAAAAAAAAAAAAAATAGAGAAGCCACAGGCTGGGAAAAATATTTGCCAGTTTTTTTTTTTTCCTTGTTGATCCACCACTGAGAGTTGTAAGTAATACACAAAGTCTTACACAACTCAAGAACATAACCCAATTAAAAATGGGTATCCCGCAGCTTTGTACATGTTAAAAAAATAAAAACAAAAAGCGTAACTTAGACTATGTCACCAAAGACTGACATTAGAATGGCCAATAAACACATGAAGAGGTTTGACATCACTAGTTAACAGAAAAACATGAGTGGGAATAGCTTACATGAACATACCAAATGCTGGTGAGGATGTGGGACAACTGAAACTCGCCTACTTTGTAAAACAGTACATGTGGCTGGGCGTTGGGGCTCACACCTGTAATCCCAGCACTTTGGGAGGCCAAGGTGGGCAGATCATCTGAGGTCAGGAGTTTGAGAGCAGCCAGGCCAACATGGTGAAACCCCGTCTCTTCGAAAAATAAAACAATTAGCCGGGCGTGGTGGTGGGCGCATGTAATCTCAGCTACTCAGGAGGCTGAGGCAGGAGAATTGCTTGAACCCAGGAGGTGGAAGTTGCAGTGAGTCAAGATTGTGCCACTGCACTCCAGCCTAGGTGATAAGAGTGAGATTCTGACTTTAAAAAAAAAAAAAAGTATGCCCACACTGGAAAAGTTTTTAAAGAGATACAACGCTATGAACCAGCAACTCCACTCCTAAGACTGTACCCAAGAAAAATGAAACCTGTGTCCAAAGACTTGCACACAAATAGAGTACCATTTTTCACAGTATCCCCAAATGGAAACAGCCCAAGCCTCCAGCAACTAAGGAGGAGCCGTGAACAAATGAGGCCACAGAGCGGAGCATCGTTCAACTGTAAAGCATGAAGCATTGCTCCATGTCACGGCATGGACGAGCCTCCAAAACACTGCATCCAGGGAAGAAACCAGATGCAGAGCACGCGGCTCATGTGGGAAAGGTGGAGGGCAGTGCTGGCCGCACAGCACGCATTTCCTGTCACCGACTGCACACTTACAGTGAGGGAATTTTGTGCTCTGTAAATTATAAATCAACAAAACTGTTTTAGAAACAGAATCGTAGGGTAAAGAGAATGCGTTACTTCATACTTAGTTATCCCAACCTGTCTAGAAAACAATTCCAGCCCTGACAAACAGCAAATGAAATTGAGGAGGGAAAATGATAATGCATAATAGTATCAAAAGCAACAATCATATAGGAAAAGAATCTAAGAAAATACATGCAAGAGCACATCGTAGAAAATCTACAAAAACGTGAGAGACACAAGTCCTCGGTAAAGGAGGAAATACCGCATGTCCCCAGGGTGGAACACTCAGTGCAGGAAGACATGACAGACTGCAGCGCCACGCAGAATTTGGTTTTGTTTTAGAGACTCAACAGCTGCTTCCAAGGTTTATATGGAAACACAGAGGACTGGGAAGAGCCAAGATGCTCTTGAAGAATGAGGCCCTACTCTACCAGATATGAGAATTTCCTGAAAATGACAGGGAGACCCTATAAAAAAATAAAAATTAGCTGAGGATGGTGGCACACACCACGCCTGTAAGTCCCAGCTACTTGGGAGGCTGATGTGGGAGGATCACCTGAGCCTGGGAGGTTGAGGCTGCAGTGAGCCAAGATGGCACCACTGCACTCCAGCCTGGGAAACAGAGCAAGACCATGTCCCCAAAAAGAAAGAAAGAAAGAAAAACTCCAGCTTACCACGAAGTCACACTGTGCAGAGAGCGTGGCAGTGGACAGACAGAGGGACCAGGAATCCAGAAAGGGGCCCAGGCTTGGAGGGGCTTGGTTTATGATGGGCAGTGACAGCCCTTCCACTCAACAGCACAGAGGCTGATGGTAACCCCCACATGGGAACAGTTAACCCTGAGCCTGGCCTTTCCCTCTTAGGAGGCTGATTAGAAGGGAAAACAGGACAGTGTCTGCACAAAATAGTACTTGAAACCATAAAAATAAGATAGAGGACATTAAGAATTTTGCCATTTTCCCATCTGTATTAGTCCATTCTCACATTGCTATAAAGGACTGCCTGAGAGTGGGCAATTTATAAAGAAAAGAGGTTTAACTGACTCGCAGTTCTGCAAGGCGGGCGAGGCCCCAGGAAACTTATAATCATGGTGGGAAAAGAGGCAAACAAGTTCTTCTTCTCATGGCAGCAGGTGAGAGAAATGAGTGCCCAGTGAAGGGGGAAGCCGCTTATAAAACCATCAGCTCTCATGAGAACTCACTCTCAAGAGAACAGGACGGAGGGAACCAAGCCCCTGATTCAGCTGTCTCCACCGAGTCCCTCTCACACGTGTGGGGATTATGGGAACTATAATTCAAGATGAGATTTCGGTGGGGACACAGCCAAACCATATCATCCCGCCCCGGCCCCTCCTAAACCTCATATCCTCACAATTCAAAATACAATCATGCCTTTCCAGCCGTCCCCCAAAGTCTTAACTCATTCCAGCATTAATCCAAAAGTCCAAGTCCAAAGTCTCATCTGAGACAAGGCAAGTCCCTTCTGCCTATGAGCCTGTAAAATCAAAGGTGCAGGCATTCGGTAAATACATCCATTCCAAATGGGAGAAGTTGGCCAAAACAAAGGGGCTACGGGCCCCATGCAAGTCCGAAATCCAACAGGGCAGTCAAATCTTAAAGCTACAAAATGATCTCCTTCGACTCCATGTCTCACATCCAGATCACACTGATGCAAGAGGTGGGTTCCCAAGGCCTCGGGCAGCTCCACCCCTGTGACTTTGCAGGGTACAGCCTCCCTCCCAGCTGCTGTCACAGGCTCATGTCAAGTGTCTGTGGCTTTTCCAGGTGCATGGTGCAAGCTGCTGTCAGTGGATCTACCATTCTGGGGTCTGGAGGATGGTGGCCCTTTTCTCACAGCTCCACTAGGCAGTGCCCCAGTAGGGACTCTGCGGGGGATCCAACCCCACATTTCCCTTCCGTATTGCCCTAGCAGAGGTTCTCTGTGAAGACTCTGTCCCTGCAGCACACTTCTGCCTGGAAATCCAAGTGTTCCTATACAGCCTCTGAAATCTAGGCAGAGGTTCCCAAACCTGATTTTTTTTTTTTATGGTGTCTCGCTCTGTCACCCAGGCTGGAGTACAGTGGCATGATCTTGGCTCACTGCAACTTCCGCCTCTCAGGTTCAAGTGATCCTCCCACCTCAGCCTCCCAAGTAGCTGGGACTACAGGTGCGCATCACCACACTTGACTAATTTTTGTATTTTCAGTAGAGACAGGGTTTCACCATGTTGGCCAGGCTGGTTTCAAACTCCTGACCTCAGGTGAACTACCTGCCTCAGCCTCCCAAAGTGCTGCTGGGATTACAGGTGTGAGCCACTGCACCCAGCTCCCAAACCTCAATTCTTGACTTCTGGGCATCTGCAGGCGCAACACCACCTGGAAACTGCCAAGGCTGGGGGCTTGCACCCTCTGAAGCAACAGTCTGAGCTGCACCTTGGCTCCCTTTCGCCATGGCTGGGAGGCAGGGCACCCAAGACTGCACAAAGCAGCAAGGCCCTGGGCGCCGTCCACTAAACCATTTTTATCCTCCTAGGCCTCGGGACCTGTGACAGGAGGGGCTGCCCTGAAGACCTCTGACATGCCCTGGAGACATTTTCCCCACTGTCTTTGTGATTAACATTTGGCTCCTTGTTATGCAAATTTCTGCAGCCAGCTTAAATTTCTCCTCAGAAAACAGGCTTTTTTATGGCATCACCATGCTGCAAATTTTTCAGCCTTTTATGGTTCGCTTCCGTTTTAAACTAAAGTTCCAATTCCAAACCATATCTTTGTGAATACACAAAACTGAATGCTTTTAACACAGCACGCAGGTCACCTTTCGAACACGTTGCTGCTTAGAAATTTCACTGGTTGGGTGCAGTGGCTGACGGCTGTAATCCCAGCATTTTGGGAGGCCAAGGCGGGCAGATCACAAAGTCAGGAGATCAAGACCCTCCTGGCCAACATGGTGAAACCCCGTCTCTACTAAAAATACAAAAATTAGTTGGGTGCTGTCTCTTATACACATCTAGATGTGTATAAGAGACAGGGTCTCCAGCCCTGGCGACAGAGTGAGACTCTGTCTTAAAAAATAAATAAATAAAATAAAATAAAAATTAGCCAGGCGTGGTGGCTCATGCCTGCAATCTCAGTACTCGGGAGGCTGAGGCAGAAGAATTGCCTGAACCCGGGAGGCGGAGGTTGCAGTGAGCCGAGATGGCGCCATTGCACTCCATCCTGGGCAACAAGAACGAACCTCCAACTCAAAAACAAACAAACAAAAAACTCAGAATCCTAGTGAGAAGATGGAAAGGCCACACAGTGTGACAGAGACCACCGGCCACACCCCTGACAGGTGTGCATGCAGAAAGCTTTTGGTCTTCCTTGTGTCTTGCAAATCAGAAATCAGCCAGCTAACTAGAAAATTGGCAAGATACGGCAACCAGCAGTGGCCGAGGCCGGATGACCCTGCGGCCGTGTGCTAGAGAAGATGCTGGGTCTCCCCGGTGGCGGTCACCATCCGCTTGCCAACGGCCTGAGTGTGGACAGGTGTGCGCCCACAGGATGCGGAGCCATAGGACTCGCTGGCACTGCTGGAAACAGTGAGGGACAGGGACAGATGCATTCCAGGATCTGACCTAGACATGGCGTCGCCTCCCTCCGGTCCTGTCCTACAGAAAGCCAGGCTCTGCGCAGCCTGAAGACAGGAGCCTGGGAGGCCACCGGCCTTGAGCCAGAACAGGCCACAGGGGCAGTGGGGCCATCGGGGCTGGGGGCAGTGATGGGGGCAGTGATGGTGGCAGTGATGGTGGCAGTGATGGTGGCAGTGATGGTGGCAGTGATGGCGGCCTCTGGAACTCAGTGGGCTGAATGTGTGCGTAGACCTCGGTGTTACCACAGGAACCAGAGGCCTGGAGCCCCCTTACCCGCTGCCGCAACCCCGGTGAGGCTCCGCCTGCCCACGACGCTCGGCCTCTCCCGAAGGAGAACAGGGACAGATTCTCCCCTCCCACCTGGAGTGTGCAGGGCTCCCAGGTGTGGTGCGTGGCCTGACACAGGTCAGGGGCCCCCACACGGGCACTTCTCCTGAGAAGAGGCCGCCCAGGTCCACTGGCCCCAGGCCCCTGCTGAGTCCGCGTTTTCTGCTGAGTAAACGGATCGTGGGTTTTTCTGGGTGTGGACTTTCTCCCCGTGGATCTATAATTTCTCAGAAGAGAAGCCGAGACGCCACCTGGAAAATGATCAATTCTTGATAAAGAGAAGACGATGACAGTGGGCCGGCGGCTTCCCACAGCTCTGCACGGGGCCCGCCAGGTGAGGTCGGAGCCGCGGACGGGGTAGGGCCTGGAGAGCTTCGGTCTCCTCCAGCCCCGGCTCTGCCTCCACCTGCGCCCCTCCCGGCCGCTTCCCTGAACGCTTTCCCACTGCCGAGGGACTGGTGGGCAGGCCCCGCTGACAGCCAGAGGAGGGGCCAGCAGGGACCTGGAGAGGAGGGGCTGCAGCGGCTCAGGCCCTGGTGGAGACAGCGACTGACTGGGAAGTGGTCTGAGCAGGTGGAGGGGAGCGAGGGGCCGCTGGAGGCAGGTGGAGACGGAGCCCAGGGGTGGCCTCGGACATGGCTGGGCACACATTCCTGTGGCCTCTCTGCACACAAGCGGTGACTGTGGGGCGGCCAGGCCCTCACCAGAGCCTTGGGGCACAGCAAGGGGCAGGTGAGGCTTGTCTGGGGCATAAGACCTGGCTCCCATGGCCAGGCCACCCCCACACTTTCCCCGAGGATGGTGCAGGGCAAAAGCAAACAGGCGCTTGCAGCCCTGCCAGGCATTCCTAGAAGAGGCTGGGGGCGGGGCAGTGGCCAGACACCAGCGCCCGTAAGGTCACGGGAGAGGTGGGGCGAGCTTGGGCCCTGGACAGCACCATGGGCCTGAAGAACGAATGGCAGCTCCCACCCAGGCTTTAGGGAACCCCCGGGAGGGCGGGTGGATGACTGGGTGGGGCGCGGGGAAGGGGAGGCAGCCCCTGAGCCCCACATGGCTGGCTGCTCAGGCCAGGGGTGGGGTCAAGACCCCAGGAGCTGCCCGAGGGGCACCCTGCCCGCAACAGGAGCTGGTAAAGTCCTGGGCTCCCCAAACCTGCCTCAAGCCCCAGCCTCTCCCAGGTTGCTGCAAGGGGTCCCCACCCCAACCTCGCTGCCCAGCCCTCCCCCGTCAGCCCTGCACAGGGCCCGGGCACTGGCCATCAGCCCCCAGGGCCACATCACAGCCCACCTCGGACCCCGACAGAAGCTCCCTCACCCCCTGCACTGTCTGCACCCCAGGGCTCCGGGCCGATACCGGCTGCCCGGCACGAGGGGGTTAACAGAGCCAGGGCCAGCTGGGTTGGGTCAGCCAGGTGACAGGCGCGGGCTGCCCCGCAGTGGGGAAATCCAGAGGGCAGGGGTGGCCGGCGCAGCAGACGTACCCTCCCTTGCTGCCTGCCTGCGGCCTGCTCTGCACGCGGGATGGCCCTGAGGAAAGGTGAGGCCCCCAAGCGCCCCGCCACCTGCTCTGGGGGTGGCCAGTCCGTGACCCTGAGCCCACTGGGGAGAGGCTAGGGGTGACCCCCAGGAAGTCCCCCCACCAGGGACTGGGGAGCCCACAGTCGGAAATGCATCTGCTGGGGTTGGCAGGGAGATGCAGCTGTGCCTGGCAGCAGAGGGTCTGTGTCCTGTCCTTCACCCTAAGGACACTGGCGGCAGCGCAGGGGAGGAGGACCAGGCACAGGCCGGAGCCTTCAGCCCCCAGAACAGCGGGCACAGCAACGGGAGGTGCCCCTCACAGCCTGCGTCGTGGGCCCAGCCCAGGCAGGAGATGTTGGCTTACACCCCACTGTCTCTGTGGGGTGACCCCTTGCGGCTTTGGCCGCCCCCAAGCCTGAGCTGAGCTCAGAGCTGGCTCAGGCCACCCCCAACCCATCACGGCAGAAGGGCGGTCGGGGGACCCCACCTCGCTCTCCCTCCCACCATCCCAGCGATTCCATACCCTCTGAGGATGCGGGGGCTGTACAGGGGAGGTTTTGAGTCATCACTGCTTGGGAGGCTGCTGGCCGGGTCTGTGAGGCCTGTGGACCCTTGTCCTGAAAGGCAATGTGAGCCTCGGTGACTGACGGTCCGGGGTTCCTACCTGTCCCCCAACAGTGGTGCCCCGGTCCCCCCCACAGCACCCAAGACCTGGATGCAGGCAGGTGAGACCCCGCTGAGGGGACCTAACTGGGGCAGGAGGTGCCCAGCTCACTGTCCAGCCTCTTACGGCAGTGAGCTAGTGCCCACCCAGACCTACTCCAGAATGTTCAGAAAATGGCCGGACCTTGGCCAATGGCTCAGTTCCCTCCCCTTCCTCTAGGCCAACGTGGCAGCCTGGCCTGGCTCAAGTGCCTGCCTTGGGGGTGCGGCTGCCACATGCCAGACAGCCCGAGACCCAGCCTAGCCGAGCCCACGTGGCCTGCGCAGAGCTAGAGAGCCAAGCCCTCAGCGTCTGTGCAGCGGGGCAGGGCGGGGCGGCCACTCCTCTGTCCCATGGGGTGGGAAGCGCAGCGTCAGCTTTTGGGCCGGAGGACCTGTGGGGCTCACCAGCTGCTTCGCATCTCAGCGGATGACCTCGAGCCTCCGTTCACACCTGAGCACCGCTTCCGGCTGTGCTGGTATCAGGCTCACTCGGGCAGAGCCCTCCTCGGGCCGCCTCCCCAAGCCTCTCCCCCCGCAGGAGGCCTGGCCTTGGCGCTGCTGCTGCTGTCCTGGGTGGCACTCGGCCCCCGCAGCCTGGAGGGAGCAGAGCCCGGAACGCC